AACATAACTTGTAAAAATCCTATCTATGCACCTACAAGCAAAGAGTAGATCTGTCAATCTTGCATTCACTAGGAAGGAGAATAAGACCTGATTCCATCACACACATATATCTATATGTGGAAGAAATAATGCACGCGTATGCGCAATATATATACTGTAAAACAAAATACATCAAATATCCGATAAGCATAGTATCTTAAATAATATTTGTGCAAAAAGTCAATGTGTGTGCCATACACAAACTTGCCTACATGTAAGTGAACGGAATGTAACAGACCTACTTCTAAGTAAGGCTTTGTTTGTTTGTTTGCTTGGACATGCAATCAGTGATGTACAGAAGTAGTTAGTGAATGATGTATGGAAGCCATATTTTTAATTTATTTCAGATTTCATATGGCTATTTCTCAATTGTGTGTGTGTGTGTGTGTGTGTGTGTGCGTGCCCTAAGATCATACATGACAAATACATCTTGAACCACATCCCTACAGCTTCCATTAATGCCTATTAAATCATCTTTATCTTTATATGTTAAGAGTTCAAGTTCATCATGTTTATTTCCTTTGTACTATACTTCATATACATTATACGTGTGTGCGTATATATACGTGTTTGTATATATATATTTGCCTGTTTCACAGTTATTATGCAGAACAATTTCATTTCAATGTCACAGGAAAATGCGCTGTGTGATTCGGTCTTATTGGACAAGGAGGGAAGAGGCCTTTCCCCAGCTCTGCCTTCCCTTCCCTTCTCTCCTCCTTCACTCGTTTAATAGGAGGAGAGGGCAAGGTTGCCAACTTCTCAGTCTGTCCTGGTGGCTCTGCTTTTCCAAAAGCGGTGGTGGGATGACCTGCAGGGAGGGATGAGCAAGGGAGAGCCTTTCTCTTTAAGAAGGGGGTCAAGGCCGGCTCATTCTTTCAGACCCTGCCAGGGAGGAGGGCTAAAGACAGAGGCGCTTGGTAAGTTGGCAACCTTTAAAGGAAAAAGACCTCACTTAGTACTTGGCTGCAAGAGGAATGAGTGCTCTGTGTGTATGTGACACCACACACACACACCAACCATATATATGACACCACACACACACCACCAACCATTTATATATATATATATATATAGAGAGAGAGAGAGAGAGAGAGGTATTTATGTATGTATGTATATGTGTGTGTGTGTGTGTGTGTGTGTACAGTAGAGTCTCCTGTCTGTCGATTTGTTGTAACATGATGTTTTAGTGCTTAATTTGTAAAATCATAATGTAATCATAACGTAATTTTAGATAAGCGAGACTCTACTCTATGTATATGTATATGTGTGTGCGCGGGCGTGTGTGTATATGTGTGTGTGTGTTTGTGTGTATATGTTTGACACCAGCCCTATATGTGTGTATGTATATATATATATACACACATACATTATGTATGTATGTGTGTGTGTGTGTGTGTGTGTGTGTGTGTGTGTGTATATATATATATATATACACACACACACACACATATAAATATCCATATATAAACATACACACATATATAGCGTGGTTTAAACATATATATACATACACACACACATATAGGGCTGGTGTCAGGCATGTAGCGGGGGGGGGGGGCGGAGGGGATTCAGCCCCCCCCCCCCGAAATTCTCATGGTGGTTCGCGAAAAGGCCTTACTGGTGCATTATTTAAACTGTTATGTTTATTCATATCATGATCTGATCACCATACTCAATATATCCCATATGCATGGGGGTATTGGGGTAATGATACAAAAGGTTTGCTAGGATAGACCCTCTTTCACTCAGACTCAGCCCCCCCCAAAACTCAGCCCCCCCGAAACCTCCTCTGAAAAAAATTCAGCCCCCCCCCCCCCGAAACGAAATCCTGGCTACGGGCCTGGCTGGTGTCATCTATGTATGTACACATATATAAACATACACACATATATAGGGTGGTTGTCAAACATATTGGGCTGGTGTCATATATATATGTATATAAACATACACACACATATAGGGTGGTTGTCAAACATATATATATACACACACATACAGGGCTGGTGTCATATATATATGTACACACATATAAATATACACATATAAACATACGCACATATAGGGTGGTTGTCAAACATATACACACACAAACAGAGTCACGCTTATCTATCTGTCTATCTATCTATATCTATCTATCTATCTATCTATCTATTTATCTATACAGTGGAGTCTCGCTTATTTTTTAAGTGTGACACCAGCTCTAAATATATGTGTGTGTTGTGTGTGTGTGTGTGTGTGTGTATGCATATGTTTGACACCAGTCCTATATATGTGTGTGTGTGTATACACACACATATACACACATATATATTTTGCGTTGGTGTCAAACATAGAGATAGATAGATAGATAGATAGATAGATAGATAGATAGATAGATAGATAGATAGATAGATAGATAGATAGATAGATAGATAGATAGATAGATAGATAGATAGAGCTGGTGTCACACTTTAAAAAAGGTACCTGTTCCGACTTGCACACAAATTCAATTTAAGAACAAACTTACAGAACCCATCTTCGTCGTAATTTTGAGGCTGCCTATACTTCTTTTAGAGGGAGGAACTGGCAAAACTACTCCTGAGTTTTAATTGCCTAAAGAAACCCTACGAAAAAATGACCAGGCGGAGAGGTCAGGGAGCCCGTGCCTCCGTCCACACAGAGTTCATAAACCCGCTTCTCTTCCACAAACAGGAGCCAAGAAAGCGGAGGAGGGAAAAGGGAGAATGGAAGCGAGTTAAAGAGTTTGGCTGGATCCATACTGCCCTCTATCCCATGATCTGATGCCAGACTTTATGGTTATCCCAGATAATCTGGCAGTGTAGACTCATATAATCCAGTTCAAACCAAATAATCCGGGATAAAATCCTGGGATATAGGGAAGTATAGACCCAGCCTCAGATGACTGACAATCTCCGGTGGGCTGGGAGAGGAAGGTCATGCTGAGGAGGGACTGAGAAATGAAGCCAAATCCGGGGCTTTCCTTGGACCCCAAGGCCCCCTCCTCTCTCACCCTGCATGCCAAAAAGCCGCACCATCCCAAGAAGTGGAGTGCACCTAGAATGAATCCAATTTGACACCACTTTAGGTGCCAAGGCTCAATGCTACGAGATCCTGGGAGCTGTTGTTGGGTAAGGCTACAGACCCCCATAGCATTGAGCCATGGGCATGCAGGGTGAGCCATGGGCAGTTCAAGTGGTATCAAACTGCATTCATTCCACAGTGTAACAGACTGGCCCTACATCCTAGGATCTGACCCCAGGTTTGCTGCTTTAAACTGGATTATATGAGTCCCCACTGCCGGATAATCCGGGATAAACAGAACATCTGGGATAGAGGGCCTGTCTCTTGGACAGAAGAACAGTCCTGAGGGAAACGAACTAAAGTTACCTTCCAGCTCATATAATAAGGGATGGACCCTTTTTCATTTCCTCTCTTTCCTCCCTTCTCTCTTTCTTTTCCTTTCCACCCCTTTCTCTTTCCTTCCTTTTCCTTCTTTCACTCCTTTCTTCTTTTTCTCCTCCCTCCCTTCATGCTTTATCTCCCTTCTTTCCTTCCAGTTCATAGAATGAGGGATGGGCCCTTTTCATTTCCCTCTTTCCTTTTTCTTTCCTTTCCTCCCCTTTCTCTTTCCTTCCTTTTCCTTCTTTCCTCCCTCCCTTCCTTCCTTCCAGGGCCCCTTCCACACAGCTCAAAACAATCCCACAATATCTGCTTGGAAGTGGGTTATAGGGTAGTGTGGACTCAGATAACCTAGTTCAAAGCAGATATTGTGAGATTTTCTGTCTGGATATTCTGGGATATAGGGCTGTGTGGAAGGGCCCTGGGTTATCTGAGTCCACACTGGCATATAACCCAGTTCAAAGCAGATATTCTGGTATTTTCTGTCTGGATATTCTGGGATATAGGGCTGTGTGGAAGGGCCACCAAAGAGCCCAGTTCAAAGCAGGGTCCTTCCACACAGAATATCAAGGCAGAAAACCCCACAATACCTGCTTTGAATCGGGTTATCCGAGTCCACACTGCCATATAACCCAGTTCAAAGCAGATAATGTGGGATTTTATTCAGCTGTGTGGAAGGTGCCTCAGACATTCTGGGATTTTCTGCCTTGGATATTCCGGGTTATATGGCTGTGTGGAAGGTCCCTGAGTCCATATTGCTATATAATCCAATGTGGATTGATGCATTGCCGAAGGCTTTCATGGCTGGAATCACTGGGTTCTAGAAGTAGAAGAGCTGCGAGGGAATGGAGGGAGGGAGGAGAGAAAGAAGGAAGAGAGGGAAGAAGGAAAAGGAAGGAAAGAGAAAGGGGAGGAAAGGAAAGAAAGAGGAAAGGGAGGAAAAGAAAAAGGGCCTCATTCTCTGAGCTGGAAGGAAAGAAGGGGAGAAAGAAAGAAAAGAGGGAGTAGAGTTCTAGAAGCATTCTCTCCTGACGTTTCGCCTGCATCTATGGCAGTGGTTCTCAACCTTGGGTCCCCAGATGTTTTTGGCCTACAACTCCCAGAAATCCCAGCCAGTTTACCAGCTGTTCGGATTTCTGGGAGTTGAAGGCCAAAAACATCTGGGGGGCCCAGGTTGAGAACCACTGATCTATGGCAAGCATCCTCAGAGGTGCTTGCCATAGATGCAGGCGAAACGTCAGGAGAGAATGCTTCTAGAATATGGCCATATAACTCGAAAAACCTACAACTCAACGTGGATTGTTATATAGCTGTTTTCTCCCTTAGGATCTTTTCCTTGCCTGGAAGGGGGGGGGGGGGAGAGAGAGAGAGAGCAAGGAGCCCCCCAGGTGGGCGGGGCCAACCTCCTCCGAACCTTGACAGGTGTGCGCCTCGGCCAATGGACGGCCGAGAAGTAGCCAATTTGGGCCCGCCTTTCCAAGCCGGCCAATAGGAGCCGCGGGCGAGCCTTTAAGAGCGTGGAGTGGGAAGGCCGGCAGCCTGAGAGTGCTTTGGAGGGAGAGAGAGAGTGGGAAGGAGGCGCGCGTGGAGAGAGTGGAAAGGCGGCGCCCTTTCCCCGCAGATGGCTCCCGGGCAGGCCGAGGCGTGACTCCGGGATGGAGAAGTCCAAGAACTTCCGCATCGACGCCCTCCTGGCCGTGGATCCCCCCAAGGCGGCGCCCCAGACCTCGCCGCTGGCCTTGGTGACCTCGCTGGGGGGCCCCTGCGGGTCCAGCCCGGGCTCCAGCCCCAGCCCCGCCGGGTCGCGCCCCGACAGCCCCTCCCCGCCGCCCCCGCCCCCCAGGGCCCTGCACTGCGGGTTGGTGCCCAAGCCGGGGTTCCTGGGCGGAGGGGCGGGGGGAGGGGGCGGCGGCGGCGGGGGGCACCCGCTGTCCCACGCCGGCCTGGGCCCCGGCCTGCCCCCGCCTCCGCCGCCCCAGGCCGCCCTCTACGGCCCGCCGCCCATGTACGCCTACCCGGCGGCGGCGGCGGCGGCCCTGGCCTCGCAGCACCCGGGCCTCTCCTACGCCTACGCGCCCCCCGCCCACGCCCACGCCCTCCCCGCCGCCGCCGGGGGCGCCCCCGAAGCCCTCAAGCTCGGCCCCGCAGGCACCTTCCAGCTCGACCAGTGGCTCCGCGCCTCCACCGCCGGCATGATCCTCCCCAAGATGCCCGACTTCAGCTGTGAGTCCACGACGCCCCCCACCACTCCCGCCCTCCCTCCTTTCTCCCTTCCTTCTTTCCCCCTTTCCCTTTTTTAGTTTCCCCCTTCCTTCTCTCCCTTTCTCTTTTCTCCCTTTCTCTTTTCTCCCTCCCTCCCTTCCCTCTTTCCCGTTCTTCCTTCTTTCCTCCCTCCTTCCCTTCCCTTTTTAGTTTCCCCTTCCTTCTCTCTTTTCCTACCTTCTTCCCCCTTTTCTCCCTCCCTCCCTTCTCTCTTTCCCATCCCTTCTTTCTTTCCTCCCTTTTTTATTTTCCCTCCCTTCTCTCTTTCCCTCTTCTTTCTTTCCTCCCCCTTCCCTTCCCTTTTGTTTCCTCTCTCCACCTTCCTTCTCCTTTCCCTTTTTCCCTTCTCTTTCTCTCTCTCCTTCTCTTCTTGCCCGTCCTTCCGGCCTGCCGCCTTCCTCCTTCCCTTCCGACCGGGCGGCCCGGCGCGGTTCGCCGACCGCCGGCGCGCGGCCCGTACGGCCGTCTTGTCCTCCCTTCCTTCCCGGCCCGGGTAGTGTCCCCTCCTGCCTCTTGTCCGACCGTCTTCCCCCTGGTCCCTCCCGCCCTGTGGCTGCTTGCCCGTCCTCCCTCCCTCTTCGCTGCCCTGTGTAGTGTCCTCTTCCTGCTGCTCTTCCTTTCCTGCGGCCGGCCTCCTCCCGCCCGCCCTCCCTGCTCTCGTGCCGGTCCGCCGTCTGGCCCTCCGGCTTCACTGGCTGGGGAGGGGCACGGGCCTGCCGTGATGGCTGTGGGCGACGGCGGCGCGGGCGCCCCGCCCGGCGCTGTGCCCCTTCCCTTTCCCTCACTCCCTCCAGCCTTCTTTCCTTCCCGTCCTCTTTCCTTCCTTCCTTCCTTCCTTCCTTCCTTCCTTCCTTCCTTCCTTCCTCCTTCCTTCCTTCCTTCCTTCCTTCCTTCCTTCCTTCCTTCCTTCCTTCCTGTCCCCCCTTTCCATCTTTCTTTCCTTCCGTTTTATTTCATCTCCTTCCCCTTCCTTCCTTCTTTCTTTTTTACTTCTTTTTTCCCTTCCTTCTTTCCTTTCTCCTTCCCTTTTAGTTTGTCCTTTTCCCCTTCTTTCCTATCTTCTTCCCTTTCTAGTTCCTCCTTCCCTCCCTCCCTTCCCTTTCCCTCACTCCCTTATTTTCCACCCTTGTTTCCTTCCTTCTTTCCTTTCCCTCCTACTTTCTTCTCCTCCTTTCTCTTCTTTTACCCTTCTTCCTTCCCTCTTTCTTTCCCTCCTTTCTCTCTGTCCCTTCTTCCCTTCCCTTTCCCTTTTCCCCATCTTTCCTTCCTTCCTTTTTATTTCCTTTCCTTCCCCTCCCTTTCCTACATTTTCCTTCCCCCCTTTCTCTTTTCCTCCCTACCTTCCCTTTCCCTCACTGCATTATATTTCATCTTTCCTTCCTTTATTTCCTTTCCTTCTTTCCTCTTCCCGCCCGCCTCCCTCCCTCCATCCTCCGGCCCTACGTGCTAGTGCGTGTCCGTCTTACGGCGCGTGTCTGCCCCGCCCCGGGTCCTCGGGTTTTTCCGGGCCTCTCCCTCCGTTGGCGCTTGTGTGCCCGCCGACTACACTCCAGCCCCCAACTCACCCCCCCTCCCGCCCTTCCCTTCCTCCCTCTCTCCCTTTCCCTCACTCCCTTCTTTTCCATCCTTCTTTCCTTCCCTCTTTTCATCTCCTTCCCTTTTTCTCTCCTCTCTCCCTTTTCTCTTCTTCTTTTCCCCTTCACTCCTTCCTCCCATCTTCCCTCCTCTCTTTCTTGCCCCATCCCTTCCTTTGAGGTCCTGGGAAAAGTGTTGGGGGGTGGGCAGAGGTCCCTTTCTGGGGGGAAAGTAATCCAGGTATATTTGCTCAAGGGGATTTTGCTTGGTGTTGGGGAAAGGGGGGGGAATGAAAAGATCTGTCCAGATTGGACCCAAGAGAAGATGCTTCTCATGGAGTCATAGAGTTGGAAGAGACCCAAGGGCTATCTAACCCGACCTCCCCCCCCCCCCAGGAATGGTCAATTTCTTGTTGTTGTGGACCTTATTCTGTGATTTTCTGAACCCAAGAGGTTACAGAAACCCTGCTAACCTTTCCTTTTGGAGAAATAATGAGCATTGCCTGGTGGGTTTCTGGGTTTGATGTGTTTAATAATAGCTGCATGGTGTCACTGTGTCAAATAAATACTTTAGATGGTGCTAATGCAGGCATGGGCAAGCTTGGGCCCTCCAGGTGTTTTGGACTCCAACTCCCACAATTCCTAAGAGCCTCAGGCCCTTTCCTTTTCCCCCTCAGCCGCTTAGTGACTGAAAGGAGAAAGGAAAGAGCCTGAGGCTGTTAGGAATGGTGGGAGTGGAAGTCCAAAACACCAGGAGGGCCTAAGTTTGCCAATGCCTGGTCTACACTGTAGAATGAATTAACTGTCTATGGCTCATTGCTCTGGAATGCTGGAAGTTTTAGTTTAGCCAAGAAACACCAGTTTAGGTAGAGAAGTTTAGGTAGAGAAGGCAACAGACCTAACTCCCAGGATCCCATAGCATCAAGCCATGACAATTAAAGTGGGGTCAGGTTGTATTAATTCCGCTGTGTAGATGCAGCTCCAGTCTCATTGATTCAGGAGGCCTAAGTGGGAGGCATATATAGTTTTGCCGCATGTATTATACATATACTATGTATATGTGAAAGCTAATAGATATGTGTTGTGTTTCTATAATGATACATAGGCACACATATCTATCTACCTGCACACACACACACATACATACATACATACACACACATACATATGAAAGATAATAGATAGATACCAGATATGTGAAAGCTAATAAGATATGTGTTGTGTTTCTATAGTGATAGATAGAAAAACATATCTATCAGCATATCTATCTGCATATATTATTATATTATATTATATTATATTATATTATATTATATTATATTATATTATATTATATTATATTATATTATATTATATTATATTATATTATATTATATTATATATTAGCTTTCACATATCTGGTATCTATTAACTTTCATATACACATGAAAGCAAATAGATAGATACCAGATATGTGAAAGCTGATAGATATGTGTTGTGTTTCTATAGACAAACATATCTATCAGCATATCTATCAGCTTTCATATATATGTGTGTGTGTGTGTGTGTGTGACCGCTGATTGATGGATAGTTAGATACCAGATATATGAAAGCTAATAGTTATGTGTTGTGTTTCTATAGTGATAGTTAGTCACACATATCTATTAGTGTGTGTGTGTAGGTGTGTGGTTGTGTGTATGTGTGTGTGTGTGTGTGTATATATATATATATATATATGAAAGCTTATAGATAGATACTAGATATATGAAAGCTGATAGAAGGTTGTTGTATCTCTATAGTGATATAGGCACACATATATCTCTACAATATTATAGATCTACACACACACACACACTGATAAAGAGATATGTGTACATATATCATATTATTTCGCATATCTATTAGCTTTCATATATATATACACACACATACACACACACACACACACATATATATATATGTGTGTGTGTGTGAAAGCTGATAGATAGATACTAGATATATGAAAGCTAATAGCAGGTTGTTGTGTCTCTATGGTGATAGGCACACAAATCTATCTATCTATCTATCTATCTATCTATATATATATATATGAGAAAGCTAATAGATATACGAAATAATATAATTTATACACACACACATATCTCGCTTTATCAGTGTGTGTAAATGTGAAAGCTGATAGATATATACTAGATATATGAAAGCTAATAGAAGGTTGTTGTGTCTCTATAGTGATAGATAGGCACACATATCTCTCAGTTTTATATATATATATATATATATATATATATATATATATGAAAGCTAATAGATATGTGAAATAATATATATATGCACACATCTCGCTTTATCAGTGTGTATATATATATATCTATAATATTATAGAGAGACTATATATATCTATATGAGATTTGCATTTAAGCATATATGTTACATATTATATGGTATGATTATTTATTATATATTATATATAAATGTAATATAGGGTTATATGTATAAATCTCATATAGATATATAGTGTATAGATATATAGTCTCTCTCTCTCTATATATATATATATATGATTTGATGTCTGTATTACACTCAGATTCCTTTGTGCAGTAGACAGAGAGATTCCCGTAGACGCATCAAACCCGGATTTCCCAGCATCCCATCGATTCAGTGGATTTACCCGGGACAAACAATGGGATTGAGCCTATATATCTATCCCCATTTATATCTAAAACGAGAGGTGTGTTTCGTGGGTGATGAGAGATAATATCCTTTTTCCTATTTGCTCCTTTCCTTCTCTGTTTCGACGCCATTAGGTGAGAAATCGCTTGCCTTCGCCAAAGTGGGGCTGCTTCCAATGGTGAAATTCGGATTATTATTATTATTATTATTATTATTATTATTATTATTATTATTATTATTTAGGGTGTGTAATTTTTTAGCATCCTAAGTGTGGAGATGTTGCAATTCTGTCATTCTAGCTGGTCTTGTATTCTTCAGACTTGAGAAATCCAAGTCTGGTGGAGAATAATAAAATCCGAATCGAGTGTGGACTCCACTCTTTCCCTGTATAAGGGCCCCAAAGTCTTTATTTCAGCAATATAATGTTCTGGAAGGATGTTTTGGGGAATAGAGGCTACTTTTGCTTCTCTTGCTGTAAAAGGAGTCATAAATCCGGGCTAAACTGTATCCTAGATATTCCTTCCCTTAAATCCGGATCTACTTTTCTGCTCCTGGATCAGTTTAGGACAAGGAGGAGGGAAAAAACGGATGTGAAGGAAGTTTTTAAAATCCTCAAGGGCACCAGATACCCGTCTGATCTTGGAAGCTAAGCAGGGCCAGTCCTGGCTCGTACTTGGAAGGGAGACCACCATCTAATACTCCTTGCTTCAACAATTGACGGGCCCGCCTTAAATCGAC